ATTCCCAGCCTTCCACTCAACTGTGAGCAAAAATATCTGGGTCACCTTCTGGCCAGGACTCTCAAGAAGCAGTTACGTCAATTTACATGCTCTTTGTCTGCAGGGACAAGTGGTAAAAAGGTCTAGCCACCAGAAGAGCTAGAAATGGAAGACAATGTTCTTCAAAATTCCACATACAAAAAAACCCTGCCCACCAAGCAGGAATCTTTGACTATTATATGACTCACCATACATTTTGGGGTCTATATAATGCTGGATTCAAGCCTATATTGACTAATGCAACCAATATGCTATGTTTAAGAACACTGAATCGAATGAATGTTAGAATCCTAAACCTTCTTCCTGGGAAATACCATGAAATTGTAGAGAGGAAAGGAAAACATGATGGAATAATTATGTGAAAGTTGCAAATATTTAATGGATCTATTTCCATTTTTTAAAATGCTACATATACTATCTTTTTAGCTTCAGTTATAGCTCATTACAACTTTGGGAAATGATTCTCCCCATTACTCAGACATGAAAACTGAAGCAAAGAAGTAGGAAGAGCCATGTTCCAGGAAGTAGAAAAGTCATGATTAAAATTGGCACCATAGCCCAAGTTGGTTGAGTACCCACTACTCCACACCAGATATTTGGTAAACAATTTTACCTTCACAGCACCCTACACTTCTTCATTCCCATCTTAAAGATGAGTAAACTGAGGTTCAACAAAGATGAATAATATACCTACATTTACACCACAAGAATGAACCAGTTCCAAGGTCAGAATATATAGAGAGGAAAGAGGCCATGTGGATTGAGTCTTCTTCCATTTATGAACCTCAATGTCCTGGAAGGTCTGCTGGCCCTGCGATAGTGTGACCACTGAATCATCACAATTGGTCACCTTTGAAACATGGATTTCTGCTGGATCTCATTCACCAGATTCCTCAGCATGTCAGCGGGTAACTCCTTTAACATTAATAACAAACTGGAGAAGCTTGAAATGGCGCATCTTGGCAGCATCCTAACTACATGGAAAGGACAATTAGCTAAGGCTGGATCGATCAGGCTCAGGCCTGAAGGAGGAACTGAAGCACATGGCAGAGAGGCTAATTCTTTAAGTAAGTAATAGATTCATATATAGTAAATGTTACAGTAGAACCAGGAGTCTTTCTCACAGAAATACTTCATCCTCTGAGTAAAAGTGCCAAGGGAACTTCTATGCTGATTAGGATGCAGAAAACAACCTGAATGGGATGAAGAGAAAGAAGTGGCATGACTTTCAAGGGGAAACAGAGTTGGGGAGAGGCCATCTCTTTCACTCCTTTCTGAGCTTTCTTGCCTGCCTTCCCAGCTTTGTAAGGGATACTTTATACGAAGGAATCTCTCAATACCCAACATCATCCCTTATCCTTTCTGCCAATCTCTGGGATTGTTCACACATTTAGAGCCCATCTCTAGGACAAAGCTGTTACTTGAGGCTCAGAATGGGACAAGACTGGGGGATCATATGGCCTCTAGACTCAGGCTACAAACTGAAAGACCAAGACCCTTTGGAGATCAAAGCATCTTGGCCCTGTATTCATTCATTTGATCAATCAATCAACAGATTTGTGGTTGGGAAAAAGGGCTGAGGGCCTTAAAAAGCCAGAGATCATCTACTATGCAGTCAGCTGGACCACAGCAGGGGCAACAGAGGAAACCCAGGATGTTGCCATGGCATCCAAGATTGCCCAGGACCAGGACTACCATAGAAGCACCTCTGGGTGGCCCCACAGCCCCAGAAAAGGCAGGAGAATGAAGTTCCCAGAAGGACACAGTCTTGCACACGTGGCCTCAGAAGAAGAGGAGGTGGAGTCGTCATGTTTCTGTTCATTGGTCGTGTCCATCTATTCCACTGATGGCAGCCAGCATGAGTGTTTTCTGACTGAGCATGCCACACTTCTCTGGCTTCTCAATGCTCTTTAGATTAAAGCCCAATTCCTTACTGTGGCCCATAGGACCCTGGTGGGACCCCGTGTACTCATTTGATCTCAGCTGACTCCACTGTGCTACCTTCCACTCTTGCTAGAGCTCCAAGTCAGATCATTTTATAGCCCATAAACTGTATGAGGACTGAGCTCATGTCTCCTCACTCACCTTTCGTACCATGCATAGCTTGTTTGCCTAACACAGATGGTGTTTAGCCTATAACAGTTAGCTGGTTGATTTAAATACTCAAATTGATTGACTAAAGCACCAGTATTCAGCAGTAAAGTCAATTGGCTTTTGAAACAGATCACTTCTGTAAATGCAGCCCTGATCCTTACTCTGTCCATGGCTTAGATGGCACAGAGAAGCAGAGTGTAGCTCAGGCTCCAATTTTTAAGTTCAACAGCAAAAAAAAAAAAACCCTTCATCAAAGCCACCTAAGCAGATATTCCACTGACTTACATGGTCTTTATAAAAGTGTAAGAAATATGCCAACAAGTGATTAACAGAAATGAAATTTAACCGAGTATGTGGTCTTCCAGTGACTCAAAAGAATACCACTAGCTCTATATATTCAGCTACCTCCCTTTTGTAGTGATACTTTGAGGAAGAGTCAGGAAAATGAGACAAACATTTCTGCCCTGGTGCCAGGATGCGGACCCATCCAACAGATCTACAAAGGTTTTTTTATGATTCAGCCTCCTTTAAGTACAAGCTTCCCCAAGGTCCCAACCTAGTGGAGAAGAAGTTTCTCTCCTTTCTGCTATGACGTTGGGATTCTTTCTCTGTCGTAGTTGGCTCCATAACCTAGTTTTGCTCAGGTTAGATTTGTACATGGTATAAACTGAAGGTCATGAGAAAGGGGGAGGAGTCATGGTTGATGAATATTAATTAAATGCAGCCTAACGTGCTCCAGTAAGAACAAAGAAAATATTTCTGGATAAGAAAGGAGAAAACTGGCGTCAGATTTAAGAGGTGGACATGATAAATTAACAGCATAAATGACTCGAGCACATGCCAGAGCACACCGCACAACACCTTGTAGAGAGAGCATTTCTATCTTCTAAGAATAAATTTAAGGATTCAGTAGGAAAATGATCTCGTTTATGCAGAAGCAGAGTTTTACTTTACTCTCCATGCTTGTATGCTCTCAGTAACACATTGTCTTGTCTTTGCTTAGATACCACATGACAGATGAACAACTGTTACTTAAGAACCCTATGCTGGGCACTGTATGATGGATTTGATTTACAGTGGTGGTGAACCTATGGCACGCGTGCCACCGTGAGCTGTTTGCTATCACTGAAAGCTCTAAAAGTTTTGCCATCACTGGGTTAGAAGAGTTAACACAGATTCATTGAGCTTTGCTTTTGACTTAGCTCATTTTCTTTATAGGAGTGTGTATTTAATGGCAACAGGGGACTTCCACATTTATTACCCTAGGTTTCTTCTGTTGCCTACTTACTAAGAAATTCTGCTATTTACAAAAGTTTGCTTTGAATATTTCCATGTTGTACATTTGATCTTAATTATCTAGAGTTTGTAATGGATCAACTCACATTTTAGATTATAAATGTAAATCTTGTGTTTTCTGTTGTGTAAAATGTATACTCACCACTGTTCTAAGTTGTTTAGTAACTAGTGGCTGTTTCTTGCTGTTTGCTAGATAAAATTCCTATCTTACCAATTCCTGTAACCCTCACAAATTCCTGTTAACAAAGTTAGCTTACAGAGGTGACTTCAAAAGGAAATTAAATGGGCTTTAACTTTTTGTAACCTCGGGCTATGCAAGGCTGCATGCAAGTACTCTGGTGCAAGATAACCAGAAACTAAAAGAAAGCCCCAGGAAATGTAGTTTGAGTAGTGGTTACACTGACCCTGAAAGCATTGTTTTGTGTCAGACAATGAATTTGTTTACCAAATGGAATGTGGTTCCATATTTTAAAACCCCCCTGCTTCCTGGGCAAGGCGCCTTTCAGTCCTCTCTTGAGTGAGAGCTGATGGGGGCCCTGAGCTCAGCAATAACCGGCTTTCCAAATTCCAATCTGCCTGATCCGGTTCCTATTCTGAGTGACCCATAACAGAGTTATCAGTTATTCAGCTTCGAAGGTTACCCATGATTATACATACCAGTTTATTTCAGGGAGGAGGAAAGAGGTGAGCCAATTTAAAAACAAAATCTGCATAAGTGGAAAAAGGGGCTGGGTGAGGTGGTACATGCCTGTAATCTTAACATTTGTGAGACTGAGCCACAAGGACCCCCTTGAATTGAAGGCCAATCTGGGCTACATAGTGAGACCCTGTCTCAAAAAATGGAGGCTGGGATCGAAGAAAATGTAATCAGTTGGTTAAGTACCTGGTAACCTTAAGACACCTAATTTTGTCTGCTGAGACATGGGAGATCCTCAGAATTCCACCTTGCTACATAGATTTGTTGTTATCTAGCAAAAATAAACCAGAGAAGAGGTATCTATGGATTCTACTGAGGGACTTAAAACCACACCGCTCAAACGTTACTCTCGGTGATTAAGGTTCCTATCTTCTAGGGCTGGGTGTCAACGTTACACAAAATGTCCCTGAGTGAGCCTTTGGGCTAAGACTGGTAAGCTCCCTGCACCCTGCCCTGTGGCCCTACCCCTGGCTAGGAAGGGCTCTGCCAGGGGAGGAGGGCAGGGAGGCGGGTGAAAGAGAGCTAGAGAACGAAAAGCTGGACATGAAGTCTCCCTTCTTCTGCATCACCACAAACAACAAACAGCTCACTGTTTCATTGAGCAATCTGTGTAATAGTTATCATTCATGGAACTAGGGTGCTTATCTCATTTCTATACTTCTGGATAAGGTCTCTAAACAGCAGATATAATTTTCGCTGCTAACCCGCCATTATAATCACTTCATCATCGCCGTATTTTGTGTTACCCACAACTGCTTCTCCAATCACACTAGTGAACTGAGAGATGGTTCTTGCACTTGCCAGGGAGGCGCTTATTCTACTGAGCCATCTCCCCATCCTTTGAGATGGTTCTAACACAACCACATTTGCTTACTTTAATTCCTTGGGATCCATAGCCTGGGGGCCCCGGAGGGCCAGGCAAGCCTTTCTGTCCAATATCACCCTGTGGAAAGACGGGAAGAAAGTAGAGACAAAGCATAAGAAGACTGAAGAAGGCAAAAGCATAAATACTACAGCTCTCAGCTCCCCACTCACTTCAGTCTGGCCACGACCTTCTGTCTGTCCATGAACAGTCATATTTTATTTAATAGATTTTTTCTAAGCATTTTATTTAGTTCAGTCATATTGCTTACAAACAAATTCTTACACATTACACAGACTTTTTTCAAAGGATAAGACAGTGCTGCTGGTAATAAGCAGAGGTGGTAGCCAGCAGCTCCTGTGTGGCTCCTACAATGACCCTAACCCTGAGCAGCAGGCCACCCCATAATGATCCTAAAAGCACAGCGGCAGGACTCTGCGTGTCAGGTAACATGTTGTTCCACTTCACTGTGGAGTTCCCAGGACTACAGCTGAAGTTCAGTGGCTACTGCTGTGAACTGGCATTAGGTTTTTAAGAAAATATGGAGCAGCAGCTCAAATGCCCAGAAACTGATAGATAAAGATGTGATTTTTTAAAAAAAAAAAATGTATTTGGTACAGGGTCTCCCTACATGGCTTGGACTCATAGTAATCTTCATGTCTTAGCCTTCCCAGCCCTGGGATTACAGACATGCGACCCATTCCCGGTCTTGGTGGCCCGCCTGGCGTCCCCTGGGGCAGGGCCGGCAATGTATGTGGTAAGGGGATCGAGCCTGGGTCCTTGCGCTTGCCTAGGCATGTGCTTAGACTGCTGAGCTATCTCCGTGGTCCAAGATGTGTACTTTTTTACACAATGGAGTATTACTCAGTCACAAACTTGAGATATCTCTAGGTATAAAGGTGCACCTCAAGATCATACACTTAAATGGAATAAATCTGAGACACATGTAAATACTGTCTCTGTGGTGTGAGAAACTTTAAGTGTACATAAGGGCCAAAATGCCAAACAGATATTGGGAAACAGGAATAAAATGTTCAAATGAGGGGCCAGGGAGATGGCTCAGTAGAATAAGCACTTCCCTGACAAGCACAAGGGGCTGAGTTCAATCCCCAGTTCGGGGGAAAAAAAAAAATGTTCAAATGGAAAGGAGAACCAGGAGGGAGGAGGGAAAAGGAAGGAAAGCAGAAAAAAATGAGAAAAGGAAAAAATGGAAACAAGCCTTTGGTAGATAGGAAAGGGAAAAGAGGTTGAAGGGAGGGAGGAGATTTGAAAAAAGAATCAAGATACGTCGTGTACAGGCCCACATTCCCTAGGATAAATGCAATCATTATGTGTACCTAAAATATACCAATAAATTTAACTTTTCAACAAAGAAAAAAGTATGCAGCAATAAGTGAATATAGCATCTCCCAGCATGTGCTCAAGTTGTTGATTCTGTGTTTATTAAAGAAAGATTCCTTAGGTGGAATCAGATCAGAAAACAATACATACACCCGGAGGAGCTGTGCGGGGCACATTCCTACAGCCTTACTGCTATGCTTACTATTTAGCCCTTAGACATGTCCACTGCAGCAATTGCTTTTGCCACATAAACACCGCAGAATGTACCTACAGAAAAGCAGCCTGGAGGTCACTAAGTGGCCATTCTCACAGGACCACCATATGCAGAATGGCATGTCTAAAACATCATTACATGTCACATGACCATTTGTCAAGACCCTCAGAAAATTAACTTACTTAAATCCGAAGTCTCTAAATTAAAATTGAATAGAAAAAGCTTGGAAAGATGGTGGGTTCATTTGTTGTTGTACAAGTCAGTAGTGTGCTTTCTGGGGTGAAAAAAAAAAAAACTTTTATGATGGTAACAGGAAGACTTAAAAACATTTCAAGACAAAATATAAGTATGACAATGAAAAATTAAAACTCATTCATTGTCCCTTCACCCACTGATGACTACTGACATCTCAGGAGGATCTTCATCCCTGTAAAGGAGTCTAAAATGTTCAGCACAGCCTCTTACCAAATCAGAGTCAACAGAAGAAAAAGAAATAGCTGGAAATCTGGTAGTTCTGTAGCTTGAAGATACTTTTAGGCAATACATTTAGTGCCACTTGGGTTTGGACTACCCCTTGTTACATGAAGTCACATGTGAAAATTACTATTTTCAGTATCAAGTTGGTGTTTGTGTCATAGCTCACTGTTCTGTCAACTTGGGTGAGAAATGCCAACTGACTGGCTTAACACAGTTCTGGGTGGGACTGAACGATGGATGCCCAAGACTCACCCTGGGTATGGTGGCACCACCCAATAAGGCTTGTAGCCTGAGTGGAATAAAGAGGGAGCGAAGGAAGTCTCCTTCCTGCTTCTTCGGAGGAGTACTCCTTTTTGCTATCGCCTTTAGACTGCCAATGTCTGTCTCCAGGCTTGCAGTACAAACCCTTCACCCTTCCAGCTCAGACTCTGTCACTCTGCTTCAAAATTCTGGGACTTGAGACATTTCAGATGTTGGAATTTCAGATTAGTTACCCTCACGCTGCTTTTGTCCCCATGTAGAGCAGAGACCTGAGGACTCACCTTTGGCCCTTGGGTTCCTACACCCCGAGGCCCAGAGGGACCAGGAGGGCCTCTGGAGCCAGGCTCCCCCTGAAAAGATATAAATGAATGACAGGTTACTGATATTTTTTAAAAAATTATATTGTATCATATTTTATTACATTTGCCCATTCAATCATACATTTTAATATTCTAGAAGCCTTTGAATTTCATTAAGGTATTAACTAGCCTTTTTCTTCTAAATCACCATCCTATTTTCACATATGTGTTATCACCCTTTGTTTCATTTCTTATTGCCAATCACACAGTCTTTAAAACGACTAATAAAGGTCCCTTTCAAACCAATCAAGGTAGTTAACTTGTTGGCAACATTGCTATATACTTTTTTCATATTTGGAAAAGTAATTATTGCTATTACAAACAGAGGAGAAAAGAAAAGAATAAATGAAGGCTATTAAGAGGTAGAATTTCATCCTGAACTAACTGTTTTTATTATCTCAATCAACAGAGCATACTATTTGACTTAGGAATTGCCTTTAGGATATCTTTGTCACTCCTGTGACTGTGCCTGCAGGGTCCATTCTTTAAGGTCCTTTCTGTTTCTCTAAGGCTTGACAGCTGTGTAAGAGGCCTATGGCCAGGAAAGCAGTGAGACCCCAAGGGTGTCAGCCCCTCTGGTTGGACCTTCCCAAGAAGTTAATGGTGGAAAGAAACAGGCAAATAAAGCCTTTATTGGTTACCTTCTGTTTGCCTGAGGTTATCTAAGCACGTTTGTGTGTTGCTTGCCATAATTTGATATTTATAAGAATTCTACATTACAATGATGACTAGCTTAGCGAAGTGCCCTGAACCTCAGTAAATATACCAGATACGTAGAAAATAATCTCTACATTTCACAGTGATAAGAATGAACCACAAGAGCATGTGAGTCACCCTATCACAAGGTCAAGAACAGGGCAGGTACTCAGTAAACGTCAGCGAGCCACCCGCCTGCTTTATGAAAGGGAATTAAAGTTTGGCCATGTCTGTACAAATAGTAAGAATCGACCCAGATGGATAGAGGCAAACAGGAACCCTCACGGCACTAAAGAAGCTATTGCTGCCCCTTTCGCCAACAGTTTGGCAGATTTTTAAAAGTTTCACTTACACTTACCATATGATCCAGCAATTTCACTCTAAGATACACATCCAAGGAAAATAAAAACACATGCCACGCAAAGTCCTGCCTCCAAATGGCCTTAGCTGCTTTATTCATAACAGCTCATAACTCACACTGGAAACAGCAAATAGATAGATAAAACATGATAAGGAAGGAACTATGGACACATATTATGAGATGGATGGACATCAACAATATTAGTTTCAATGCAAGATGTCAGACATATTATTTAACTTCATTGATATGAAATGTCCAGCAAAAATAAATTTATACAGACAGAAAGCAAGCTTGTGGTTGCCATGGGCCAAGGTTAACAGCATACATTAACTATCTGGGTACGAGGAATATGGATTAATTATGAATAAGTATAAAGAACTTCTAGACAAAACTAAAAGAACAGGTAGAACTTGTGAATTATATTTTATTACTGATTTAATCTCTTTCTTAATCATACCTTATGCTTTTTCAGACAGGCCACTTTTATAGTTCTAGTGTCCTACCTCAGTCTTTTCCACTTTCCAGTAAAACTCGGCTGCTCCTGAGCTCCAAGTAGTAATTATCTGCACCAGCCCTTTCCCACTGACTCCCAGTTCTGCGGGACCACAAGCTCTTCCCAGATAATCTGATGGCTCCCATGTCAAGAGCCCCTGTAGGGGACATGAACACCCTGGCTGTGTGCACCTGCACAACCTCTTCTTTCTTAGCTCTGAAGAGTGTACATTCATCTGAGAGCATCCAACCACATCTGACACACTTTACTACTTTTACAAAAGACAGGTCATTTCTCATCAAATCTTCTGATACTCACATACCCTACAGAATACAGCTAAATAAAGATAAACTATAATTGCCTAGAACTATGGAATGTTTCATCAGAAATAATCATCTCTTTCACCCCAACTCCACACCTCGACAGGGCAGTTTCCTCTACCATGTTCTAGCTCACTGCCTTTCCAGGATTCATTTTTTTTCTTTTTTTTTCTGTATTTTAGGGAAGTGTCTATAGGGTGTTCAGGGTTTCACTACTAGATTGGACTCATAGTGTTTCTTCTGTTTGCAGTCCTCCCAAGTGCTGGGATTATAGGCATGTGCCATCATGCTTAGTCTCATTTGCCATCTCAGTGTGCCCTGGGGGTGGTCTGGCAGAGCAGGTCCGGGGATCAAACCCCTAGCCCCTGTGCCTGCTTGCAGACACTTTAATCCACTAAGCTATTTGCCTGGCCTTTATTTATTTATTTTTTAAGTTGAGAAGGAATTTTTTTGGTTTTGTTGTTGTTGTTGTTGTTGTTGTTGTTGTTGGTTTGTTTGTTTGTTTTTTGCTGGCTCAGGCTGCCTTAAGTGCAGGTGTGGTGTGGCATGTGGAGCTGGGGATCAAACCATGGTCCTTCAAGTCTGACTGGGTTTGCCCCGGTAGGCACTTAAACAACTGAGCAAACTGGCAAGCCCCTCCAGGATTCAAGTAAGAGGTTACAAAGGATGCAGCTGAATACCTGAAGAACACACAACCTCACCTAAAAACACTAGCAGCAAAAACTGCACCTGGCTCGGACAGGTCTAGATGTACCAACTTACAAAAATAGGAGATGAGGGATGCCTTAAACACCGTGGAGTCACCATCAGCAAAATCCTCAAGGACAAACAACACACCCACGAAGAAGGTGCAGGGAAAAAGCAAGGGAGAAGTAAACATGACCCTGAGAGGCTCCGGAGGCAGCTCAGCTAAGGACAATACCAGGCTTCCTTTAGAGCCTAGTTCAAACAAGCCAAGTACAACGCCTCAGGTACCAATTTTCTGCAGCTAACGTGATCATTACATGCTGCACACATGTACCAATAAGTTTTTTTTTTTTAATTTATGAGAAAAGTTGGAAAATTCAAACACTGGATATTTGTGACTGTACGGAATTGTTGGCATTTCTAAGGGTGATAACGGCACTGCTGTTACATTTCAAATAAGAGCCATGATATTTGAGAGACAAATACCAACATTCTTTTTAATTTTTCTTTTTTAAAATTTATTTATTTATTTATTTATTTATTTATTTATTTGGTACAAGGTCCCACTATGCAGCTCAGACTTGTAGTGATCCTTCTGCCTCAGCCTTCCCAGGGCTAGGATTACAAACATGCACCACCACTCCCAGTTTCGGTGGCCAGCACAGCATGCCTGGTGGTATTCTGGGGCTGACACAGCAAGCGGTACTGGGGATCAAACCCGGGTCCTTGCACTTCACAGACAGGCTCTTAGACCACTGAGCTATCTCTCCAGCTCCAAATACTAACATCTTCTATGGGTGGTGTCTGTAGGTTGCTTCAGAGCACAGTGAGAGGGGAGTGGGAAGCACAGGCAAGACAAGGTCTACCTCATGCCGGTGAGGAAGGATGATGAGGCGGTGGGAGTTTACCTCACCTGTTTTTATTTTCCTCTGTGCTTAATAATTTTATAATTAATTGTTTTAACAGTATGTTGAAAAATCCTTGAACCGCACCCAACAAAAATCTCACCAGTGACCTAAGGAGGTACTGCTGAAATGGTTATTCTTAGTGAAGAGAGCACGTGACTTATAAGATTATTTCAGTGGACAAAGGGGAAGAACATAAGGGTTCGTGAACGTCATTAGTAAGATGTACACATATTTCATGTATTCTTGGTCCATATCAAAAGTTACACATTTTGTTACACAAGGATGCAGAAAGACAGTTGCTTTGCATGACATTATTTCAAGACAGAATTTGACAGACTAATTTGCGATATCTTTCTTGTGATGATTTTAATTAAAACCTCTTTCTCAATTAGTATCATTTTTACACACACACACACACACACACACACACACACACACACACCAGATGTGAAAGCTGCAGGAAAAGCAGTTAAAATAAGTTCTGAGTCCATATCACACCAACTATCACATCAACAATCAGCTTCGTTATTCCTCTGGTCTCCGTATTCTTTCATCCTTTCCCCCACACCAACATGAGGAGCATCTGACAGGCACCTGCTGTAAGCCGGCTGACCTTGAGTGTCCCTCCTTTTCCTCTCTGTCCTGGAGCCTGGGCCAGTGAGGCCCAAGAATGGCATGTGGGTCCTTCTGAATTTATCTCAAACAAGCTGCCCATCCTTATCCAGAGAATTGGTGACACATAGTTACATTTAGGCTATCGAAATAATCTTTTCATATTTTACAATCGAGAATATAAACTAATATATACCTATGCTTTTCTGAAACAGATCGGCTTTAAATCAAGGTCTAACATTCTGCAAATGTTCAAGTTGGCCTATAACATAAAATGAAGGTTGTACTACAACACAAATGGAACATCTGGCGCTTGATAAGCTGCAAACCCGCAGAGAGGCATCTCCCCACTGCAGAGGGACCCTCGACACTGCGTCACACCTTTTCCTGTTTCACGAACCATGAGTCCTTCTTAGGTCACATCTGGTGATGAAAGTAAGAGCACCATGAACAAGTCTCCCTTTGCCACTTGAAAGTACTGGTTCTACCACGATGCGGCACAACTGGTACCTATGAAGAGGTGTATTTACCTGTGGGATTTTTGCCTTGGGCTCTTATTTCAATGTATGGGGTGACATTCTCAAATAAAGGACACCAAAACAAGTTCTTGCATGGTTGGTTTTAGCTTCCTATGTAAAAATCTCCAGGCTGTGGCAGCCTGCAGAGGGAGCCCTTGTACTAGGAGATAATAAACAGAACCGAGCTCAGATCCTGGAGTCACCATTGGTAGCTGCATCATTTTCATGAGCCCACAGTCCAAGCTTTATTCTTATTTGCCTTCACTCCCTCAAGAAAAGAATAATTGCTTACATAGCTTCACACTTCCTTTGACCCACAAGAGATACTCTGCATGAGAGACACTTTAATTTCACAAGAAAGGACCAAGTTTAGGACTGTTTGCAGTATGCATTCAT